GAGAGAGAGAGGAGAACAGAAGAAGAGAACAAGCGAGACAGAGATACAAGTGAAAAGAGGGAAAGGACAGAAGAGACAAGAGGACAGAAGAGACAAGAGGACAGGGGGGACAGAGGACAGGGGAGACAGAGGACAGGGGAGACAGAGGACAGGGGAGACAGAGGACAGGGGAGACAGAGGACAGGGGAGACACAGGACAGGAGAGACAGAGGACAGAGGACAGGAGAGACAGAGGACAGGGGAGGCAGAGGACAGGGGAGGCAGAGGACAGGGGAGACAGAGGACAGGAGAGACAGAGGACAGGCGAGACAGAGGACAGGAGAGATAGAGGACAGGGGAGACAGAGGACAGGGGAGACAGAGGACAGGAGAGACAGAGGACAGGAGAGACAGAGGACAGGAGAGACAGAGGACAGGAGAGACAGAGGACAGAGGACAGGAGAGACCGAGGACAGGTGAGGAAGAGGACAGGGGAGGCAAAGGACAGGAAAAGTCAAATATGATTGTAAAGACAGAGGAGCGGAGAGACAAATAAAGAAATGAAGTAAAACTAAAGAGATACAGGATGGAAAAACAGAGAAAAGGTAGGACAGTGGACATATAAAACAGAGGACAGATAAGACATAGGACAGAAAACACAGAGGAGAGAAAACAGAGGATGGATAGGACAGAACAGAGAGGACATATAAGATGAAGTACAGAGAAGAAGAAGGAGAGTAGAGGAGAGCAGAGCACGGTGTGCAGATCTATGATACATATCCTCATACCATGATCTGACCGGCGATATCCCTCAGATCCTGATCGCCGTGTCCGTTGCAGGAAGCCGCATCCCTCTGTGAGAGAAGAAGAGTGTGAGCTGTAGTGAGCAATTTATAGAAATATCTGTCCAGCTTTGTACACGGATGCCGAGTCTAGATGAAGTATAGATGAAGTATAGATGAAGTATAGATGAGTATAGATGAAGTATAGATGAAGTATAGATGAGTATAGATGAAGTATAGATGAGTATAGATGAAGTATAGATGAGTATAGATGAAGTATAGATGAGTATAGATGAAGTATAGATGAAGAATAGATGAGTATAGATGAAGTATAGATGAGTATAGATGAAGTATAGATGAGTATAGATGAAGTATAGATGAGTATAGATGAAGTATAGATGAGTATAGATGAAGTATAGATGAGTATAGAGGAAGTATAGATGAGTATAGAGGAAGTATAGATGAATTATAGATGAAGTATAGATGAAGTATAGATGAAGTATAGATGAGTATAGATGAGTATAGATGAAGTATAGATGAAGTATAGATGAGTATAGATGAAGTATAGATGAGTATAGATGAAGTATAGAGGAAGTAAAGAGGAAGTATAGAGGAAGTACAGAGGAAGTATAGAGGAAGTATAGATGAGTATAGATGAAGTATAGATGAGTATAGATGAAGTATAGATGAAGTATAGATGAGTATAGATGAGTATAGATGAGTATAGATGAAGTATAGATGAGTATAGATGAAGTATAGAGAAAGTATAGATGAAGTATAGATGAGTATAGAGGAAGTATAGATGAGTATAGATGAATTATAGAGGAAGTATAGAGGAGTATAGATGAAGTATAGATGAAGTATAGATGAACTATAGATGAAGTATAGATGAGTATAGATGAAGTATAGATGAGTATACATGAAGTATAGAGGAAGTATAGAGGAAGTATAGAGGAAGTATAGATTAAGTATAGATGAGTATAGATGAAGTATAGATGAAGTATAGATGAGTATAGATGAGTATAGATGAAGTATAGATGAAGTATAGATGAAGTATAGATGAGTATAGATGAAGTATAGATGAGTATAGATGAAGTATAGATGAGTATAGATGAAGTATAGATGAGTATAGATGAAGTATAGATGAAGTATAGATGGGAATAGTATAAATAATGATTTCAGGTATAGTACAGAAGATGATGAGTATCTCCGTCAATGTCCGGTCTGTTCCTTCACCTATACAGCCATTGTGTCCCCCTCCCCCCAGACCCGGCCTCACCTTCTCCTGCATGGCCCTCAGGACGGTGTCCACTTGCTGCCAGAGTGAGGCACCTTCCAGGGCCAGCTGAAGACTTCGCTGATATTCGTCCAGAGAGCCCTGGAGCCTCAACCACCTGCCGGGAGAGAAATGAAGAGCGCAGACTTGTTTTATGGAAATGCGTCAGTCCTGAGCCACCAGCCAGACCTCCCACCCACCATCTATGTGAGCCCATACATGGGGCAAGCAATCAGTCTACTGGAGAGTCATCTGACCTCTCCTCTCTATTGGTTTATGTCTCTGGATTATGTCGGCCTTTATACTTTGCTGTGATACTGGTCCAATGAACCAACATCCTCACACATCAAATGAAGGTCCCATTCTATTGTCAGCTGCATTGGGAACATGATAATGAATGAGCAGATCAGAGACGGTTGGAAGAGCTCCCCATACATTGCTCTTTGCTTACCGAGAACATGCAGAAGACTCTGGCCGGCCCAGCATTCCAGTGTTGTGTCCCGAGGGCCCTACTAGCATGGATGAAGTAGAAGATGCCTCCATTCTGATGGCAGCCACTCAGGAAGATGCAATGAGCAAACATGGTGGACTTCCAACATTGACCAATGAAACCATTGTGTTTTAGAATGATATAAGGGTGGAAAGGTGCCTATAGGCAGGGGCGTCCCGAGGCCAGGTGTCACCCGGTGCAGAGACCGGGTGGCATCCCGCCATTGCGCATCTTATTGATATCTGCCGGCGGCCATCTTGGTGATGGACGCCTGCAGAGAGAGGAGGAGATAGCCACCTGGCGGGATAAGGTATGCTGCCGGGCCCCCTCCTCTCTCCCGAAACTGTCGGGCTCTCGGTCCATGACCAAGGGTTCGACTTTTCAGAGGGGGGTGACACCAAAATGACTGGCAGTCATTTTCTGACAGTAGGTTTTTACTGTTGCTTTTAGAGTGTACAACTCAACACTGTGCACCATACAGGTGGGTAACAGCAGTGAGGTAACAGGTACAGCACAGTCTAATGAATATAAATTACAGTTCCAACCGCTGAAACACACAACTCAAATATTGACAACCCATTGCTTTCTCAGTCTGTGTGAAGGGAGATTTGCCCCTTCTTGAAAGGATTCCATCATATTCTATCACAATAATGAAAGCATAGCCATTGGACAATCCACAAACACAGTTTTTCTGATAAAACAACATCCTAATTGGTTGTGCCGGGTGTTTTTTTAAAAATTCTTTATTGTACATCAGATAGAAAGTACATTCCAGTGGACAAAATAGGGCAACCGCCCAACACATAACAGTACAATAAACTGAGACATCACATGAATGTCCTCATATATGTTATGGCACAATCACTGTACACAAATGAAGCAATACTCCCGGCGGGAGTAGATGTCTCTACATGTAACCAGTAGCGGGTATCTCACGATCATTGTATCGTATATAAGCATAACATCATTAGTATCATCCACCACACCTTGGTACTCAAATCCCTGGCAAGCATATGCAACATAGTACGTATTCGTGGTGTAGGATTGCATCTCCTGGCCCATTACCGTAGCTTGGATGGAAACATCCTTGGCTAGCCTATCAAGAGCATAGAGCTTGGTGTCCCTGGAGAAAGGACGCTGTAGACAGGGTACTCCGAGAGTGGAGAGAGGAGGAGGAGGAAAGACAAAGTTTAAAAGATAGGAGCAGTCGTAAAAGTAAGGGTAGGTCACCACTTCCCCTCCTCACGACCCAGCAGAGCCGCCCGGAGCTTGGTCTGTCATAACCCTCTGGTAGGTATCTGTATACCTGAATATGCCTTATGCACCAGCGCTAGAATTTTTGCCCGTTGATCCTCCGTGAACGTCTGTCTCAACTCAGACTCCCATTTTCTGATGAATGGAGGGCAGAAGTCCTGGGGGGGGATGGAGAGTATCCCGTAAATGACAGCTATGGCGTGTCGCACCGGGAGGCCCTGCCTACACAGGGTTTCAAAGGGTGTAAGGTCCCGGATAGGGAGCGCTGACTGCGGGATCGCCTGCAGGAAGTGCCTCAGTTGCATTGCCGTCCAGCCCGACAAAGGGGGAGATGTCAATGCGCATATGGCCGTGTGTGAAAGGATGGTCCCCCCCTGGAGGAGATCCACCAGTCGGAACTTGTTAGCAGTACGGAGTCCCCTCAGTCTCGTATCTTCCATGCCCGGGGCAAAGTCGGGGTCACCCAGTACCGGAGTCATGGGGGATGGGAATGGGGAGACAGATGTCACCCTGAATGACTCCCTTGCTGATCTCAGGGTCGCCCCAATGGTAGGGTGTGAGGCCAGAGCCACGGGCATTGGCGCCGTGAGCCAGGGCAATCCCTCTATGGGTATCTTGCATTCCCCTAGTTCCATTTGTACCCATTGCTTGCTCTCTTGGTTGCATGTCCAATCTACGATTCGGGCCAGTTGGATTGCCCGGTAATACATGAGTACGTCAGGGAGACCCACCCCACCATGTCGTTTAGGCAGCGTGAGGATCTTATGTCCTATACGCGGCGGATGACCTGACCACACGAACAAGGTAAACAAACGACGTAGTTTTAGGAAGAACCCCGCTGGAAGTCGTATGGGCAAAGCCTGCATTAGGAATAACAGTTTCGGGAGGATGGTCATTTTGATGGAATTACATCTCCCGAACCAAGTCAGGAACAGACCATGCCATCGAGTGAGGTCTTGACTAATGAGGAGGAGTAGAGGTGCAAAATTGGCATCATACAACTGTGCGAGGTCAGGTGTGAGCAGGGTCCCCAAATATTTTTTTTCAGGTAAGGTGATTTCAGGTAAGGTGATTGCGAGCGCCGCGGATTTAGAGAGGTTGACTTTAAAGTTTGAGATGCAACTATACTGGTCAAAGAGTCGAAGCAAATGGGGAAGAGAACCCTCAGGGTCAGGCAGGAAGAATAAGAGATCGTCCGCGATGTGTTGTTATCGACAAAGAAGGAGCGCAGCGCATGGGTTACGACTGATCTGAACTCGGGTTCCTGGAGTAGCGATTCATTGAGCCTCCATGAGAGGCATTTGGACCTTGTATTCATTAAGTCTAATGTCAGGTGGATGGGAGCGTGGTCTGAGACGAGAATGGGATCAATAGATGCCGATCGCAGGGAAGGGAGGTCTTTGTGCTGGATAAGAAAATAGTCTAATCTGGAATACGTATGGTGAACTTGGGAGTGGAAAGTATAGTCACGCCCGTCCGGGTTGAGAAATCGCCAGGTATCAATCAAACAAAGTGAGTTGAGCTCCTTCCTGAGCCTTCGCAAGCATGTATATGACAGGTGCGACACACCCCTAGAACCGTCAACCAAGGGATCCATGAGATAGTTAAAGTCCCCCCCCAGGACCAGAGTGCCCCCCATGAAATCCGCCAAAAGGGGCAGAACCTCCACTAGAAAGGGCACATGTTCCGTATTGGGCATTATAGACATTTGCAAGGGTAAACAGGTTACCATTGATTTCCCCCTTAACGAAAATATAGCGACCATTGGGATCAGTGTGGTGGGCTACTTATGTCCATTGGACCGACCAGGATATCAAGACGCTCACCCCCTTAGATTTCGATATTGGGGAAGTGCTATGATATATCTCCGGATACTCCCTGCCGCCAAAGGCGGGCACCTGATCACTCCTGAAATGAGTCTCCTGGAGGAAGACCACCTGAGAGTGCATTGCTTTCATATCGGCTACAACCCTGCGTCTCTTCTCCGGGGTGTTAAGGCCTCTCACATTGAGAGAGGTAAGTTTAAGGGAGGCCATGTAAGCAGACAGTGTATACCAGGTCTTGAGGTGGGGAAGTGAAGTAGGAGGTTTGCGGCACAGATGACAGCAGTAGTCCGGCCCAAAGAGGGTGTAGAACAGCACCAACAGGCAGCGGGTGAAAGAGGTAGAGGAAACTCAGTGCAGGAAGATGCAAGGGGGACTGCTGGAGTGTAAAGGGAGGAGAGAGGAGAGTTAGGGAGTAGAGGAAGTAGGTAAGGAAAGGGCGAAACAGAGGCGTAGGCGCCTCTACTAAACTATTTTCTTAAGTTAGATAACTGTCTCGAACACGTGTAGGCGAGACAGTAGGCCTATTGGGGGCCGTGCTACCAATATGGAAGATAGAGGGTAGCAAATTTGGTGAAGATGAGGAGATGCACCCCTAGGTGTGCACAGTGGCATGAAATAAAAAACATATTGGAACGGTAAAGCTGGCAAAAACATATATGAGCATGTCATAGTATCTTAACATCAAATACAATAAAATGCAGAGGAGAGAAATAACAGAACGACAAATGAACCATGATAATTCCTGGAAACTGACCCCCTACTGATGGCTTATGTGGGGACCTGACCACCTGACCTTCCCTCAAGCCCATAGTTATAATGCCCGGGCCTCCCTTACGCAATAATAACTGTGTAGTGTGGGCGAGCCCTCCTTGGTCAGTAAGGTTGTGGGCTGGGCGAGGGCAGCATACGCTCTCCATTGAAAATCATGGCCTCCCCTTCCGTTTAAGTTACCATAGGCTTTTGGTTGTTGAGCATCCTGAGACCGGGGTGTGAGGCCTCACATCCTCTCAAACTGCAATAATAACTGTGTAGTGTGGGCGAGCCCTCCTTGGTCAGTAAGGTTGTGGGCTGGGCGAGGGCAGCATACGCTCTCCATTGAAAATCATGGCCTCCCCTTCCGTTTAAGTTACCATAGGCTTTTGGTTGTTGAGCATCCTGAGACCGGGGTGTGAGGCCTCACATCCTCTCAAACTATCGCCCAACCCACGTGGGGACCCAGATAGGGGAGCTGGTCCGTGCTCCAATGTCCCCCCACCCCCAGGCGTGAGCGCCCATCATCTGGCCGAGCACGGGGACAGCGAAACGCTGCACATATCCCACAACCCCCCCC